TTATAAGAATGTTACAAGTGGAAGATGTTACAGTTTTTCTTATTGATAAAGTTTTTATATATTTTATTAACACTTGATTTGTCTTTGGTCAATTTAGGAGTATTTATTTTCGCTTCTTTTTTAGTATTCTCTTTTAGTATACATTTGCATATTTAAAAGACACAGATAAATACTAATATATATAAAAAATATATAAATGATATACATATATAATGATATATATGTATACATATATAAATGACAATGTTGGCAGCATTAAAAACAGGATAATCTATTTTTATTGTTTAGCAATCATTGTTAATTATTTAACCGTTTTGCATAATTTAGGTCATAAGCAATAATATAATTTACTATTAATGAAGCTTTTATATTTACTATTTTATCTCTTATCTTACTCCTTACAAAAATTAATCGCTCAATAAGAAACCTTATATAATATCCAAACCTGTCTCAAGTTACGCTGTTCTTATGACGAAGTAAAAAAAGAGACAGATGGTTGCAATGCTTTCGCCTGTAAGCAAACCAGGGGAAATCCAACAACGCAAGCGTAATACGTTATTCTAATTAATTAATGTTTGCAAGACGGCGTCAATCAAAGTGAGCTGTAAATATTTTCACATGATAAAAGCAGTAACCGAAGATTATGTCAATAGAATCTGCGCTATATGTATATAGATGCCCTTTCTTAGTGAACTACATTTTCTTTAGAATGTAAACTAATTAAAAGTTTGTAATCATTTTTCCTAATTGCAGATGAGTATTTTATTAAAATCCCGTAATTGACAGTGTACAAGTTGACGCACTGCGTGTTACCGCATAAGTTTACCAAACCGCAACCGCATACACGTTGAACGCAGTTACGGCTCGAATTAATAAACACGAAAATAGCTCGCGCTATAATCTCGCTATATTTATCATGTAACGCATCGACGAATGTATTGAAATCAAATTTCCAATTTTAGTTTCGTAACAGTAATTTGAACAAACTAGCAAAAATTGATCTTTGCGTTCCATTAGGCCATTAATTACTTCTGGCAGATAACAATATTGACCAATCAATATATCGTATCGGAGAGATATATGAGTTGTTGCATGCTACACATGTTAAATACTACGTATTGCATACCTTTTTTCCTATATAAACAAAGGTGTGTTAAGTCGATAGTCGAAAGTCTCGAAGTATTGTTGTCGCTTTTCCGAGATGCTGATTGGCTGTCTCGCTTGTGCAATACGACATGCTTCAGTCGTGTTATTTGCAGCTGTTAAACCATGCGAATTTTTAGAGAGAGCAAATGGCGCGAAGCGCGCGCTTGTGTTGTCTGGTAATATAAATTTTGCATAGCATTTTGATGTACTGCCACAATTCTAAGCAGCAATCGTAATTAACCTCTAATTAAGTTGTTTAATTATGTAATTAATTCACTTTGTTACATGCAATAATAGAATGCACAGCCCGTTGTGCTCCCAGTAATCATTTATTTGGATATAAAAGCTGACACTATAATACCAAATTATTAAAATATTTAAAATAACTTTATAGTTATATCTTAGCCACATACTGTGACGCATTTCATCGTAACATGACTTAATTTGTCGAAAAGTAACGTTAACAGATAAATATTGTATTAATGGAAATTTTATTTAAAAAATTATTTATAAAGTAATTTTTTAAATCATATAATATTGATACTATAACTAAAAAATCGTGTTTCTTTACCTTCCATAATGTACTAAAAAAATGTTGGAGCGTTAAATTCGCAGTTTTGGTATTAAATTCTCAAGATTTTAAACATCAAAGTTCTCTCTTTGCTTGCGACTATAAAATGACGTTTGACGTTCTCCAGCATACGTTTTGATGTAATTTCCTATTTATAACCGTACATGCGTTAAACATTAAAATTTCGACGCAAAGAGGAGGAAGAGGCTTTCGTGAAATTGATCGTAAGTCTTATTATCGACAGATGTTTTTATGCAGTTTGCCTGCCAGACATGTATGAGCAAACTCAATATTTCTTGCTAAGCTCCAGCCATTTAGAGCAGAATTTAAGTAGTACATAAATAATAGATAGTATATGTTCAGCTGCTTAGTAATTACACATTAAATGGAAGTTTATTAATAGTCCGAATAGCCGCATACATAAATATAGATAACAGATTGATCGGAATCTCCCTCTAAAAATAAATTATTTTGGGTCTTGCGATGGCGAAGAATTCAGCGGAGGAAATGAATAAGAAATGAGACAAATACGTCGCACGTAGTTGTTCTAAATTTAAATTTAGGTCAAAGTTTAAACTTCATTGGTCACACAATATGCTGATGTAGAAATTGTTTTCTATAGGCGTCTTTAAATCAATGTATTCAACGCCGATTTTAATGGTTTAACTTTGATCGTGTTATCGTATATAAAGTTTACTTTCAGAACTTTTAAAACTTTCAAAAATGTATATAACTTGAGTATACTGCAACCTTATGTAATACGAGGTTAGGGAAATTTCATTTGCGATGTTAGGTAAAAATATATCTACGTCGTGAAAGCTAGTCTCACAAAAAAATACGAGGGACATTTTAATGATACGTACACTCAATCATGAGTTATGAACAAGTATAAAGCTATTTTATTCAATGGCAAAGGTTTATCGCTGAGGATGCACGAAAATATTTTAATTAAGAGCGTATCTTGTTTAAATAAGTCACGAGCATATATGAATTTTAGTGTATTCTGATATGATCGTTATTATATTATTGCATCAGGATTAATGAGAATTTATATTTATCGTCATTATATTATGGTAGATAGACGCAAATTAATATTTTATTATTACATTCGGCAGTAGTAAATTTTGTAACATATGTAAACGTCAATATGCAATAAATGCAATAACTTTAATTGATTTTAGCAATACTTAATAGTATACTCGTACGTAGCTATTAATTAAATTTTCAGACAGCAAGAAAAAATATTACAAGTTGTAACAGTTTGTTAATTTGAGATTGACAACGATATCGCACGATTAAAATAATGGAAAACGTCAGTTTTTTTTTCCAATAAAAATGTTAACGATGGAAAAACAATTTACTATCTTATAATTATAAAAACATTTTTAGGAAAAATAATATTTTTTTAATTTTGTTAAACTTGTACACAACACAATAATTTAGTTTCTTGACGAATAATTTTTAAAAAAATATTTATCATCTGTGCAAATATACCTAGTACTATAAAACAATATTAAGCAGATCATCTTTTTGTTACGGATGATTATTTTAATATAGATATTATTTAATTATTATATAAACAAATTTAAAGAGAAAAGAGTTACTTTTATGATTGTCTTAAAAAAACTAATATATCTAAAAATAAGTGTGTTTTGTTAGAAAATATAAATAATCCGTACAATGATAGTAACAGTTCAACGGCCTTTATTAACGAAATATTGCAATTTCCGAAATATTTTTAATTCTCTGCAACTCGAGCGTTAGTCAATTTATTTAGGGAATAAGTCATTCGCACGTAAAACCCGAAGTTGCGTTTCATTACGCTTCATCCGGTCGTGAGTTTTAGTGCCTATTGAAGCATTATTAATATATCCGATTATATACAACACAGTTTGAGTCGTTTTAAGAGATTAATTACATTTTTACATATTGGAGTAAACATGATTTTTAATGCATATTAAAAGCCACTAAAATATGTACGAGGTCATATTATTATGATACACATACATGTATGGAATTTCCTTCGAAGAGAGAATAAATAATACACTTGTATATTTTTATTAATCAACTTGATCAGTGATGTGAATTTATATTTATATTGAGATATGCATGCATATTAACAAGGTCTACAAGGGATGTGTAAGCCCGTTACTGGAATATATAATAAATAATCATCGAATTATTCTACCATACATCAATCGAGATTTTCCATTTAAATTGCTTCGCACATTTCGCACTTTAAAACTTTGGAACTTTGAAATTCGACGGTGGAATAATTTCAAAGATCCCACTTATGCATTGACGTTACAGTCTTGAGAAATCGTCTCTTAAAGATTATGTGACTTTATAGCAAACTTATGCAATAATGAGGAGAACTGTGCTGGAGACGGTAATAGAAGCGAATTGAATTTTAATTTACATGAACTTTAGATTAAAAGAAAGATTTCAGATTAAAAACTTTAAATTAAAAAACGCCACTGATCAGAACAGAATTTTACAAGTAATTCTCCTACTCAAAAACAAATTTTTCTTGTGGTTGATTCAGGATTGGGTACGTATTATACTCGATATATTATACGTGGTTTCCTCCACGTGTTATACATAGTATAATACACCGTGAGTGCAGCCATGTATTATACGTATAACAAAGAAAATAAATAGCAAACGGCTCCAATGTGATAAACAAATATGATTAAAAAAGGACTAATGCGAGCCGAACGCAGATAAGGCGCGATAATAATTTTTTAATAACTTGTTAAATAAAATTTCTTCAGACGGTTCGATTCTTTTTCTGGATTATCTTCAGTGATGTTACTATAGTTGGGGAAAAAAGAAACGATTTAGTCAACAAATTTAAATTTAATAAACTATAGAAGAACATTATCAACTCATGTCTCCTCTGATGACTTCCAAATTTTAGATGCTAGACGAATAAGAATTAAGCGCCTAAAAGAAGTTTAATCAGCGAATTCGCTAGCGAATTAAGAAGTTTGGTTAAAGCGATAGAAGCGAGGCCATGTAAAGCACTCTATAAGTATAACATGTTTCCTACGTTTTAATACGTATTATATATGTGTGTTATACATGAAAATGTAGGACTCAAAATGGCCAAATAATCTAACCCTGACGTTGATTATTGTCAAAGTACACTAAAAGATTTAATTTTTCTGTAGTATTTTGTTTAATTTTTAATTAAAGATGTAAAAAAACTAATGTATCTACAAATTACTTTAATAATTTTAAACATGCAAAATAATATATTTCACAATATTAATTATAATTACGATTGTTACAGAAATACTTTACTAATTTTTATGAATGGCGGAAATTAACGGCCTAATAATTCAAGGTAAGATTCTTCTCTTGTATATATTATTGTTATTATGTAATTTTATACACATACACACACACACAATTATATTTTGTAATTTCCGACCAATTGAATTATTGTTACTGTTTTATGAGCGATCTCCATGCATCACTGCTTCCATTGTATACATATATTGTAATATTAAAGTATTAATCATTTCACTAATAATAGGCTAATTTCATATTTACGCAAGAGTCGAAGAGAGCTGGAATTTTGCGCATTATAAATGTCATTGTAGTGAATCCGCAACTAATATAATTAAAACTGCTAAGCATAGTTTTAAAGTAGTGAATGTCCTTCTACGCAAAACAATATTCGCAAGCAATCTAGATAAACACAATCAAGTTAAATAATCCTAACTCTGATTTTCACCATCGTCGTTTAACTTTGATCTTATTGTTAGTTTAAAGCATCTTTTATCTCTTTCTAGAGGGGGGGGGGGCAGTTAGAAAGAGACAAAAGATGAATTAAATTAACAAGAGACTGATAATTAGATTACTGTTTTGCTCATATAATTTTATACTACTTATATTTAACCTAGTAACTACATTTGTAAAATAGCAAACATTTTTTAATTTAAAACATTTTTCGTAAATTAATGAAATAAAATGAGAAAAATATACGATCTTTATACTTTATTACAGATTTACGCAATATATAATCTAAAGCAGCCTGCAGCCTTATCTTTAATCGTTTTATTCTATCTGCGATAACTACATGCGATTACATCTGAGATAAAGAACATCACGACACGAGGTATAAATTGTAACAAAAAATTGTCTTATTTAATTTGTCATATTTAAAAAACTGCATGCAGCTGATAAGAGATTGTAAAATATTTATCATGTTTATCATTGTCAGTTCAATCTAGATGTATTTTATTACGTTATAATTCAGATTGATTTTATCATTTCAAGCGATCTAAATTTTCCGCTGTCTGTATGGTGCAGAAAACAAGCTGTAACTAAATTTATAAAACGCTATTAATAGAGCGTTTCGTGTTTTAATTCATAAAATAATTTTTAGGATTAATTGCAAGAGAGAGCGGCAAGTCATATCGATAAAATGCATTAACTTTTTTTATTTATAATATCTTAGTATTGTGTATAATTGCATCATGTTACATACAAACAGATATACAGATTGTACAGCACAGTATGTTTGTATGTAACAATACAAATATATTGTTTGGCGATCAATACGCAGTACTTAAAAACTGTTTTTTATAACTATTATATTTGAAGACAATATTGCCGTTCTTATTATTTTGCAATTACGTTTTTCGTTTGTACATCAAGAGCATCGGTAATTTCAAAACAGGAATATTTCTTTTATTGCAGATGATGTTAAGCATAACAGAAAGTGATGTTTTTAATACGCAAGTGATGTATTTAAACGCAACTTCTAAAATGGAGTATGATGAGTATGATGAATACGTACCATATGCTCAAAGGCCTGAGACTTACATCGTGCCCGCAATATTTTCGTTAATTTTAGTCGTTGGCGTAGCAGGAAACGGTATCTTGATTCTCATTTTGCTATGTCATACCAGTATGAGAAATATACCAAACACATACGTGCTGTCTTTAGCTCTGGGCGATTTGCTGGTGAGCACACAGCTTTGCGCTTGCGCTTCCTTTGTTTCTCGAAATTTTCTCCAGTTCAAGGAGAGTAAAAATTGTTTGAGTTAAATAACTCTTTATCTAAAATATAAAAGAATTCAACATATAAGAGAATAATAAAAATGTACATTTCTTTCATGGATAAAAGTAAGAAAATAATCAAAGAGACATGTCTTCTCCGAAAAATAAATTTTTCTAGGAAAAATATTAAAAATTGAAGAAATATATAAATATATTTAACACAATTATATAATTGTTATCCGTGTCCATAATTTTCTGTCCTCAAATAATCTTTACTTATGACAGAGAAAATATATTATATCTTCTCAGTATATTTATGATCGTCCTGACCTCCCAGGATAATTTATCACAGTCTTTCATGACATAATTTGATGGCAAAGTATTATCTGTATCGAATTTTGAGATAATTCATTGTTACAGGTGATTGTGACTTGCGTACCTTTCACATCAATTGTTTACACGATCGAATCGTGGCCATGGGGCTTAACTATCTGCAAACTATCCGAGTGTGCTAAAGATATTTCGATTGGTGTGTCAGTGTTTACTTTAGCCGCTTTGTCAGCCGAAAGGTAAATACGTGAGCTAAGAACCTTATCGTGTTGTGCAAATTAACAAAATTTCTTGTTGTGGAATTAAACAAAATTTTGCTTAACTAGATAGCAGACGAATATCCGTAGCCTAATTTAACTTGTACAATTAGCCGAGAGATTAGAGTGAAATTTCACTTGTAATATATCCAAGTATAAAATCGGTTCTCGAAGCTAATTAATGTATACTATTAATGTAACTCATTTTAATGAACGTGCAAGACAACCAATGTTACTGTTGGATATTCATACAGATACAGTCGAATATTCTACGTTAATGATCATTAATTTAAAGTTAAATATGTTTCACGGAAATAATTACAATTATCTTCTCGATATTCTTTCCTAATTTTAAAACTGCATCTACATTAAATGGAGGTTTAATTTAGGTAAAATCGATAAAGCACAACAATCTAAGATATGCAAATTAATGATCGTTTGTGTCATGAGTAATTTATCTTTGAAATAAACGAGCTTCTACCGCTTTTATGATATAATCCATTGCCGCATCTTCTCATGTTCTCATAGATATTGCGCCATCGTGAACCCTATTCGTCGCCACGTAGCGGGTTTAAGCGCAAAACCACTTACCATTTTAACGGCATCCCTTATTTGGGTCTTAGCGATTGTCTTAGCTATGCCCGCCGCGCTATTCTCCAATGTATCACCTCAATCATTAGGGAAAAACCACACGATTTTAGTCTGCAGTCCTTTCCCAGCAGAATTTGGTAAGCCATAATGCAATTCTTTTGGACACATTCTGAATGTCGCCAATTATTAGGAATACGTGCATATATAAACTGTCAAATTTATAATAAAACTTGAAGTTTATTTATATATGATAATGTCATTTTACTTGTTGAGGAAAAGAAAAAACTTTTCCAGCAGCTCGTTGTTGTGGGAACACTTCGCGAGTTTTTATGATCGCAGCTCAAGTTTCAAAAGGCCGTATTAGCGCGCGCATAAAATAATATTTTACTTTAACTCATTGAACGATGTTAAAATATGTGAGAAAATATAAATTTCGTAACGCTAGGTGATTACTCAAAGATAGACACCGCATTATGTACTTTCTCATATTACAGGAGCCGCATATCGAAAGGGGATAGTAATATTCAAATTTTTGGCGTATTACGTGATACCGTTGTGCGTCATAGCAGGCTTTTATTTAGGCATGGCATGGCATCTAGCATTATCAACCAGAAACATGCCGGGCGAACTTCCCGGTGGTGATCTTCACATTGAACAAATAAGGGCGCGCAGAAGGGTACATGAAAGAATATATTTTTTTTATATTTCCAAATATTAAAATCATACTATTGAAGAGTTTTTATAATTCAATTGTCTCTTATTGGATCCGATTATATTGATGATTTCATTTGTTGCTGCAATTTAACAGGTGGGCAAAATGGTAGTGTGTTTTATAATCGTTTTCGTGATTTGTTTTCTACCGTATCACATATTTATGCTGTGGTACCACTTTTGCCCCACGGCCGAATCAGATTATGATTACTTCTGGCACGCATTCAGGATAATTGGCTTCTGCCTCAGTTTCAGTAATAGCTGCGTTAATCCCATAGCTCTATACTTAATTAGCCGCACGTTTCGTCAACGGTAAGTATGTGAAGTTTTTGAATGATGTTTTTTTATTTAGAAATAAAAATTAAAAAATATTAATAAATGTTAATTACAATAGCAATTATTAAAAGAAATTAACTTCTTCCAAATTTTATATAATAATTGCAAATGTTGAAGAACAAAAATCGCATAATATAGTATTATAGAAAATTTACTTCAGCATATGAAAATTGCTATCTTGTCGAAATACGAGTTTTTTACGAACTTCTCTACGCAAAGGTTGTCAACAGAAAATAACTTTTTTCCGTTTTAAAAATATGTGTAGTATTACTTGTTTTATTTATATTAACACATAAAAGTATTCTATTCAAATACAGAATATAAATATAAATTTGCAAAAATAAACCGTCGAGAAATATATATAGCTTATTTTTTAATTAGACATATATCATGGCAATATGTTTTTAATCTATCTCTCCTGTTCTTCTCTCTGCCATAGGTTTAATAAATATTTATGCTTCTGTCTACCGGATGGTTCCGCGATCTGCAATAGAAATCGAATGGAAAGTAGTATAATTCGTGGACACGGTGCTTTTTCACAAAGAAGTCGACGCATGTTTTACGAAACTAGTTTCGGTTCCACCTTTCGAAGACGTACTCAAGAATTAAATTCGACCGGGGTATTTGAAATGGCCAGCATAGAAACATCTAAGCCTAATGTTGGCGATCGAAAGTTGCCGTCGTAAGTAATTTAAAGTGAAAACAGGGCGCGGATATCAATGTAAATTACAGTCCAAGTCGCAGCACCATCACTGCTGATAATAATAGATAGTAATTTCATCAGGATGGTTGCATATTTATTATTGCAAGTTTTACATTACGAGGATAAAAGGAAAAATGTAGTGACAGGTTCAGAAACTTTTATCCTAATTAATATTTCCGTAACCATTTCAAAAGTTATGGATGCCCGCTTGTAATATTTTTCATTTACAAAAATACGACTTTGAGAATACACGTATGTTGCAATTTTTCACTCTATATATCTTTGAAAGGTAGCTCTTCTTCAAGTAAGTACAGCCTGAGTTTCTGCGAACTCAGACTACAATTCTTTTTCGAAAAAGTTCTTTCAAGCGACTATACTTTTCGTATCGTCAAACTTCTCTTTAAAAATTGATAATGTAACCAAATCATATACAGAGAGAGGGAGGGAGGGGAGAGGAGAGGAGAGGGGGGAGAGGAGAGGAGAGGGGGGGGGAGAGAGAGAGAGAGAGAGAGAGAGAGAGAGAGAGAGAGAGAGAGAGAGAGAGAGAGAGAGAGAGAGAGAGAGAGAGAGAGAGAGAGAAAGAGAGAGAGAGAGAGAGAAGTAATGACTTGTTAAGACTGTAACACGCGTTTGAGAATCATTTCTTATACATATTTGCAAAATAAAATAATTTTTTACCTTGGCCTAATTTATAAAAAATAACGAATAAAAGAACCAATACTATTCATCTTTTTATAAATGTTCCTGTGTTTGAATGATCGTAGGAATAGATAGTATGTATGAATTTATTCTTTTTCATGAAAACATAGTGTGTGTAAAGCAGTACTGTAGATATATGTATGTATATATGTATACATATTTCTTGCTCAATTTACAACTTGTCGATTAACAACTATTGTCTATTATATTTCTCTTATTGGATAAAATTACAAAATTCTTTATCTTGAAATAAAAGATAAGAAACTTTAATCTTCAATTTTAATTAACAAATTAATCATTATTTAATAAATTTATAAAATTATATGAACAACGAGAAAACTGAATTCGTTCTTTACACGATAAGTGAACCATAAAATAGAGATTATATGAAATACAACAAGATACGATCTGATGTTTGTTTGTTTTATTATTCTTTTGTGGCGGTAATTGGTTCACCGAGTTAAATTAGATCTCACTGTAGGTACTTCACGAGAAGAAAAGCGTAAAAACACACAACAGATGACTTGAAATAAAACTCATTTTAAATCTTCGTAGTTCAACTAAACTGTATGTGTATAAGCAACAAGTATTTACGTATTTATGGATGCATTTATGAATTATATAGGTCCTTTCTGAGTACGCTCATTAAATAAAAATGTTTTCTCCTCCTATCGCTCGAAAGTTTGTGGTGTAATATATTGATGGAACTACACGATGCAAATCGGAACTATAAACTATAGGCCAGTAAATTTCGGTGCTGTAACAAGCTTTTTATTGCGACATTGTTTATATTTAAATTAGATTTATATATAATATGTATAGTTGTTAGTAAATAAGTATCTAAAAAATAATTTAAGTACCAAAAACATTCATCATCACATCTAAAATGGTTACACATTGTATATCATTAAATACGAGATATTCCAAAATTACCGACCCATTAAATTTTCGTCGAGGGAAGATCGATATCATATAATTTAAAAAACTGTCAGTTTCAGGACACACTCAATTTTAGGATACTTTATACATTTTCCATGTTTTCTTTTCATGTGGCTGAACTGTATACCAATAAAGTTAACTCGCTGTATATAATGCAACATAAAAACAATATTATTTTTCCTTTTGCGTAAATAACTATTATAAAAACGTGCGCGCGCAAAAATCACTCGTACGATTATTTCCAAGTCGAACAAGAATAATCGATACGAGACTCCTAGGCACGCGTGCAACGTATCCACTCGCACGTGCCGGTCGTCCGTTCGGGGTTTGCGCAGGGATAGAGAACGCGAGAGAGAAAGAGAGAGAGAGAGAGGGGGGGGTAGGAAAGAGGGTGTCTTGCATCTGCCGCTCGTTCGGACTTTTATACGACGGTTGAACAGCCGGATTTCGAAGGGGGCTTGTTATAAACAGACTCCCTCGCGTGGGCCCCCTCTTCTTCGACAACAGTCGTGAAAATGAGGGGGTTGCTAGTATGCGACGATCGGCATTAGTCAACGGTCGTGTCCATTGACAGTCCACCGTAGCATACAGCTAATAACGAAGGTGCCGTATTTCTCGTGACAAAAAGGAGGCGAAAAAGGTGTTTTTTTTTCTTTACGAGGAAGGGTTTACCGGAGAAACTTTGCGCGGCACAAAGGAACGGTTAGTGTGCAAGCCTGCAAGCGCGAGAGAACCTCTCGACACCCCGGCAGCGCCAGATAACGAAGCTGATACAACGGATAACCGATCCGAAGTTAAGGGACAAACTTGTAGAAGCGCACGTTTCTACTCGAAGGCAGAAGCGTGTAAGTAACACGAGGTATCATTACTTCCAGACGACGACACAATGAGACGACCATCCAAACAGATACCAACTTTGTAACTCCCTTTACATCGAGCCTATATGTGTTTAGTTTCTGTGTTAATCCTATTACAAAATCATTATCGCATAAAAATTGTCGGGACATATCAAATTTTTACTGTGATCAAAATCATACAATTTCAGAGAAATTTTAATAATACATTATTAGATTGTTCTCAACAATATTTGGAATGAAAGGTGTATCGAAATCAGAGAACAACTACTAATTAACTTGATACTATCTCAGTGAAAACAGTTATGTTCGAACATAACGGATATTACGCGGGTACAACTGATACATTATCTCAACTAGCGTTTACAACACATTCAGTACAATGCACATTGAGTAGCTATTATTACGTACCAGATTCCCATGGTAGTGTAGATAGTATCAAAATTATAAGGAATGTAATCAGATTTTCATTTTTTAATGTAAATAGAATATAAGCAATTTTATTAAAAATAACATTGGGTATTATTACTGTTTTACGAAATTGTCGGGGTTTTTTACATTTATTTATTCCAACTAATCACGACACAATTTTTAAGGTGTAAACAATCACTCTTTCAGATTTATTGAATTACAAAAAGACGAGCGTTACGTCAGATCATAATGAAGAGATACTCGTCGGTAAGATACAATATTACTTATGATAAAAACGATTATACTTTTTTAAAATAAGATGCAGAATGCATGCAGAATCATACGTGAACATTCCTAATAAGATGAAATAGCTTATATTTATATGTTTAAAATTATAAACAGTTAAAAGAAAAGTTTTATACATTATTCAACACAGGCACCTTGTCTAGAAGATGTTGGCAATGACGCTAAAAGAACAAAAGGAATTAAGCAATACGCGGTAAGTTCAGCTTATTTATTATTGATTGGAACATTTGGAGTAATCATCATTGAGTGCTCATCGAACATTGGAGTGATCATCAATAATATATGTATAATTGTGCGTTTGACTCGCGTAACTTGATTAAAAATGTGAATAGTTACCGATAATATTGTTTTAACAAAAAGAAGAGACAAAGCTATTTGTCAGCATTTATCGAGACATTTAACAAAGTTAGACAATGCTTGTTATTCTTCTTTGTCCACAGTTATTACATTTAAAAGCAATATAATCGCATTCAACTGGAAGAGTTATTCAATTATATCAAAACGAAAATTGTATTCATCTTCAATCTCTTACAAACTCGTGACAGCAATTTACTAGAGACAAGTATAACAATCCAAATTTTCCTCTTTCTTTCTTTCTCTTTACGTCTATCGATCACGAAGCCATGTTTGCGATTAATGTCGTAAAACTGTTTCTATATTTATTTTACATATATGTATACATGTTGCTCTTCAATGCTCGAAGTCCTAGGAAATTTTGAAAGTTTTTAAATAATGAGATTCCATGATTTTGGGCTTAATCGATTAAAAAAGTTTGTAAAAGACTTAATATCTTTTTATTTTGCACATATATATCAAATCACAATAACTGCATTTGATAGTTTATCTTCTGACATACAGATCGTTCTAGCCAATGTATCTGTAACAAAGCGTTTCAATTGTGACAGAGGCCGGCGAATACGTACATATTAAAACAATATATATACACTCACTATATTTTTTTTTAGATTTTCACACGGAATGTGTAAATTATTTCACATATTTTAGATTATTCACAATGCAAAGGTTTATCTTTCTTAATATTTTCAATTATTAATTAATAAAGTGTCATAAATAATTAATTATTTAATAGATGATTTAATATATGTATATTTAATAAGTAATTATCAATTATATTAAATAAAATTAATATTTGATATTTTAGAAATAAATAATCATTATTATAGAACTTTATTTTTATCGTGGCTAGAAACACGTCCCATGTATTACGAGTATCTCATTTTTCTATAGCATCCAACTACAAGGGAATATCTTCAGTTGGCTTTAGCCAAAGTCCTAGAATTACAACGAGAGATCAGGGAAGGCACATACGTTGCAGAAACCGATAATAGTGATCAGGGTAATGCAAAACTTTTCCCGTACTTTATTTTCTTTCAAGCATTGCGTAACTTGTACACCCGATATCGTTGACAAGAACTTTTGCGACATACTGCAATGGAAAAGGGTACCGTATATTCTAGACTTTCCTTAAAGTTTTGAACAAAGTGTATTTTCTTTGTGCAACATACTGTAACGAACTTCTTAGCATTCTAATAAAATTACTTATTCGAATAATTAATTATCAATATAGTTAAATGACATTTTTATTAAAAAATAATTTTTCTATTGCTAATAATGGAATCCAAAGAGCTTATATCAAGTGTCACAGATATAAGAAAGATTTTTATATTTGTAAAACAAAATTAAATTCTGTATTTAGTATCATATCGAACAACATCGATGCACATGCTGCTAGGTGGAAAGGTTTTCATAGATATCAGCAATATCGTCAAATTGATGAGAAATGCGACATGATTCTGTACCATACGCATGACATATGGGACAAAATATAACTTGTTTTATTGTCTAAAAAATAGTAACGATTTATAAACACGATAAATTTATAATCAAGCTTTTTAGTCGACATTAACCGACCAATGTTTTAATACAGAAAATGGTAAATTAATATCGCAGACGTATGACATAAATTAAAAATTAAAAATTTAATTTTTGATCACAGCATTTAAAAAATGCACAACAACGAGAATAATCCTATCGTTTTTGGACGCTACACACGATCCTATTTACCAAATTGCTCTATCACCTCACAGTTTTAAGAAATTTACAGTTAAAATTGCAAAATCGGTAATATTATAACTATGATATGTGACATGTCGGAGAAGTTTTATTTTAATGAAATTCGATGTGTTAGGACTTTCAGCTTTAAAAAAAAATTGTTGTATCAGTTATGGTTAAAAATATATTGATGGTTAACGTAATCTATGATTAACATAGTGCGTCAGAGTTGCTTTTTATTTTGATATCTACTACATTGGCTCCGACATTTTTAATTTATTAACTTTGACATCAAATTTAATGTCAAAGTTAATAAATTTAAAATGTCGGAGCCAATGTAGCAGATATCAAAATAAAAAATGGTCGAATTTTTACTTTTTTTTAATCAACTTTGATCAAATTAGTATTCAACGATGTGAAAAACAAAGTATATGAAAAATTAAAAGAAATAGCAAATTCATAACTAATACAGACTCAGATGTAAATCCAATTACATTCAATATTTCCCTTAAAAAAGATCCTTATATTTAAATACAGAAAGTGAGGAAAGTGAGGAAAGTGAAGAAGATAATATAAACATGTTAACATTCCAACTTTAACAAAAAACACCAAAGGTAAGAGTGATATATTTAAAAATATCACATTCATATAAATTGACTGAAATTTGTTTTTTTTCGATTCTATATCAATTTCAAAATATATGGCCAATATTCAAATCGATTCAGGTTAGTAGCAATAAATATTCACATTTTTTTACAATCATAAGAATTTTATTTATAGGCTCTCTTTTTAATTCCGAGCACATCAAAAGAAGAAATTCCAAATACCATTAAAACTGAAGACGCGGTTCCTATAGGTTGCATTAAATACTAAATTACTAAATATTTTTTATTAGTACTAATTCTAATCCTGGATTCACATAGCTTTAATTGTTATTAAAGTTATTATCAAATTTTATAAAAACAAAAGTTATAAATCTCTTATTCGTTCTTATTACAATTATAAAATGGATTAAACAATGAAAGATTTGTATAACCTTAAAATGAATACTAAATAGGAAAAGAAGTTCTTAAAATAGAATCTTTATTTGAAAAATTTGATTTTCTCTTACGTTCACAGGAAGAACTTTATAATTTGGAAGTTTAGCTACATCAAAAGAACAAGAAGGAAGTTGTAAGTTAATGGAATAAATTTTAATAGTAATATAAGTAGCGGTTCTCAGTTGTAGTTTGAGATAAGTTAGCAAACTTTATTTAACTTTCAAGGTGATAGAATTTTCAAGGTTTAGTGGACTAAATGTTAAAATTATAGTTAGGAAAATAATGAAAACAATTTTTTCTAATAAATTGGCTATGCAATATTTTTGGGTGGGATTGAAAAAGGGAAATTTTTTAAATTTGCTTCTTTCTTAAATAATAAGTAACAATTTTTTTACATACATAATATATATTATAACGCTATTCATATAAAACTATTAACAAAAATTTTGATAAACTAATATTTTGTTTCTGCAATTTTACAATTTTTTTTCATTTTTTTCAGAAACTATTATAAAATTTCATATAAACACTACACCATCTGAAAATGCCCTCAAAACATGATTTGTCAAAGCCCAAGAAAGCTTTCAGAAACAGTAACTGCGACAATGTATAAATAAAATATTTTTAATCAAATCTTAAGTTTGTATCATTTTAAGATATGATTTTCTAGTAAAAATATATTCACATTGTTTTTAAGTTATCTTATATTTTTATCTATATTTTTTTAAAAAAGACTCCGTAAAAATACGCAAAATGATTTTTAACATTTTGTTTAATATCTTTAGAATTCATAAAACATTATTAGACTATTATGTGATGTTATTAAAATATTTGCGTAATACAGAATATTTATAGAACGCAATGTAACTTTTTGTCTATTTTGAATATTCCATTGAAGGTCCATGGAGGAACTCTGAAGTATCATGTGAGAATATTCTAGGAATATTCAAACATTCTCAGATATTATTCTATAAATATTCATAGAACTTGTGCTGTCGAAACAGCGACCTGAAAAACCTTTAAGTTTGAATAATACAATTAAAAAATATTTTATAAATTCTTAATGGTCTATGTAAATCGCAACTTTGACGTATTAGACTATATGTTAATCATCAATATCCTGTTAACCATAATTAATACAACAAATTCTTTTTAAGAACTGAAAGTCTTAACATACTTAATTTTGATTACAATGAAACTTCTCAAACGTATCACATATCTTAATTATAACATGTCAAAATACACTAAAATAGCCCATTTTGTTTTGCATTAAATGCAAATTTCTCAAAATTGTACCGTGATAGAGCGAGTTGGTAAACAAGATCGTATTCAGCGTCCAAAAAATTATGGAAAACGATTATTCTGGTTCTTGTGCTCGAAAAAGTATGTTTTTGTGGAATTAATAGTTTAATTAATAGGGCAGGGTTGATAGGTACGTGGGTAAAAAGGCAGGTAAAAATCATACATCAGTTAAACATAATAATCCATTGATGTATCGGGTTACGCGGACAGGGAGAGATGCGCGGGTAAGACGAAACAACGCTTGGTTCAGTGCAATTAGGGCCGTGAGAAGGAGCTCATGTAACATATGGTGAACCTTTTAACCCGCGTACCTTTAAACCCTATCCTACCCCTATAGAGGTATCTATATTTTTATTTCTTTGTTTTTTATCTTCTAAATCTAAACTACAAGCCGAAATATAAATAATATATTTTGGCAGGATATTTTATGCTTTCATATATGAGTTAATATTCAATCCTTTCTGCTTTTCTATTTTTATAGAGACGACCTCTACGATCACTAGCTCATTAAATGTATACTATTTCTATGAAATAAAACTATATAAAATATTTCCGTTATTTTACAGACGCATCCGGCAGTGAGGAAGATTTAACGAAGGAAATTTTTACGAAAGTTTTTCAAGATCTACCCGGGACACCCAGTTCTCTCGCTAAAATAATAGATAGAGAAACACGCTGGAAAAATCACCGTATGGATGCCGTTTACAGTAAACGGATACAATTACTAGGTTTCGATACTTGTCGGAGAATGGCTCTTGAATTCATGAACACCATCATGCGCGAATCGCGAAACAAGTCTTCCTCATTAAGCACAGTCAAATTCAATGATCTTCAACGATACGAGTCGTTACATTTGGAAGATGGAATTCTAGCGAGTGATATTCGCAAACGGGAGTCAAACGCGCAAGAAATTCGAGTGAGAATGTTGAGAAGTTTGGATTTGCATTTGGCTGCTAAACAAAGAGACTATACGTCCAAATTAATGAGATCGGGTATTTAATACTGCATACGACACCTTCGAGTGGAAATGCATTGAGTGCGGAAAATCCCCAAATTTAATATATTCTTCAATATGTGCAGCGTTATTGGCATTAATATAATGAAAGTTCAGCATACACATATATTTATGCACTATCTCGCTCTTTACACATTAATATCACATTTGGCAATAATATTTCTTTTATTCGTGATAAAAGATTATAAATAAGCATTCATTCACTCTTAAAAAATTTTTTTGTAATAAAAACTTTTTATTGTTGAATTACTTTGAGATTTTTATATAATAGCTTAAAATGAAATCAAATTTTGCTTTTAGGGAAATAGTCGATCTCAGTTCTCGTAATATTTATAATATTTATAATCTATATCTAGTCATATATAATATATGAAATGTGCTAGTCATAACTTACAAAATGAAAGCTTTGCAATTATTTTAAATAGATATATATTTATATACATATGTATACTTAGATACCAACATTATTGTTGGTCTTGGACCAATATTAATATTGGTCTTTAATAAAAGAAAATTATGAATGCAATCCTCCCTGCTTATAAATAAAAGAAAGAAATACTAAAGATCCAATTTTTTTTATTGAAATGATTGGAATTTTAATTTAATTCACATTGTATCTAATTATATTATAATCTTTGTTAATTTTCAGAGATAGATTGTTGTGATTAAAAACGTAAGCTTCAAAAAATTCTTAGAATCGCGGTTTTTTTAATTCTGGGAAATTTTTATTTTATTTGAAAAATTTAATAGTATACGAATCCAGATATAATAAATTAATAATTTTAAACAAATAACGTCTTCATATTTTACAATATTATTAATTTCTACTTAAGTGTTTTCCTTACTCTGTACTTAACTTTTTTAATATAGAATTTATTAATTTCTATGAGAATCTATTATATTTTAACAGGTTTGAAACTTCTGCTGGCTAATTATAAGAAATATAACGATAAACCGTATAGATTAACAATATTAAAGAATTATATTTTCTTAATACATTTATTTGATACCTACACGACTGGAACAAGAAATAAAGAACGAGTTTTGTAAAAAAACTTTATTCAGAGTGTACAAATAAAAAATTCTAAAGTTTACGAACTACGAATAATATATCTTAATCATATAATATATATATATTACTAATTATAATTCACCCCTCGCGGTGTTCGAGTGTGCAATGTCACGAAATGTGCAGTCAAAACATCGGAAGATCAACTACACATCGATTTGTTACTCAAAAGGAAGACGTATACAGTAAACATAAATTATTTTCCCTAAAGTTAATAAATTATCAAACTAATCCTCGGAAGCGCGAATGTTAGATTCGTAGCTTACAATTAGCATCGTGTTGAATCCTCAAGGACACGACTAAACAAATATTATGCGTGTTTATGCAATAAACTATCCTAGCAAAATATAACGGTGTGTAAGGATTAATTTGTGTACGTTATTCCATTAAGTTTTCCTTGTTTAACCGGAGTAATGTTTTAATTATATAGAATTTTATAGCAAACTCAATGCAGGACTTTGAATTCTATTTCAAGACTTTAACATAACCGTTGATTTAAATTCAAAATGCACGTATTGTTAAATGTCCGCTTTTCTGTTTTCTGTTGCATTTACATATGTGCTAAAAATATACACTTAAACAAGTTTCTAAAATAATGTACTGAATTTAAACAGACGTGATTTACATATATATATATATATGCCACAGAAAAATTCGTTTCGATAAAAAGATTCAGTAGTAAAGATAAAATTATCAACTGTACGTTTAATTCATTGTATATGATAATCGCAACAATACACAGTACGTATTTCGCAAAAAATTTATCGAAATAATTCATAATTCATAATGGCTTTAACTAATAATTAACTAATAATCTAGTTTCTGTCTCTAATCATGATAAGCGATTTCAGTATTAAGATTCTTTTTCGATCATCCACTTCGTTGCAGTTTTTTCTAATTTATTTTCGTGGAAAATATAATATATTGGTTAATAATTTAATAATAATATAAATCATTTGGAATTACGAGTAATGATAAACATATTGCATTGCTGGTCGAAATACAAAATGAATTAATCGCTGTAAAGAAAGTAACTACAATTACATCTAATATCTATCTTTTATAAAAATATATGTAAGATCTTAAAGTATCCGGTCTCAGAGACTATATAAGATAATTTTTTTTACTATTTGGTCGTATCATATAAAAGGCCGGATAATTAAGGCGTAATGTCTCAAAATCAATATATGCTAGTTATCAATTTATACTATTTGTTAATGCGTATATATCTGAACGTGTCCGTTATTTTTAACTTCTTCCGATACAATCGTAATAAATTCTCAAGCGATAAAATGTAACGATAAAAGAGATTGACCAATTCGGTAAAAACGCTCACAGTACGGAATAAAAGTTTCGTAACAATATTTTGAGAAAAGAAGAAATTTGAAAAATGCTGAAGTACAAAAAGATACGGTTTTGCACGCGCGTCAACTATATTGTCAGTGTCTACGCGCTACTATTTCTCTATCACAAACAATTTTTAACATCAAGTTCCCGTCCATTTTATATATAAATCTGGGCGTATTCTTACAAGTAGCATAACGGGTAGTATATCTCGATCTATGACATGAGCTACTAGGAATCAAACAAGGCTATAAACTATCGACAAAACTATGAGTCCTGCGAGAGGACTCGGGTCATGGGCTTCCAATTGCTATCAAAAAGACGTATATTATCGGTATCCTACTGGGATATTGTAGACCTATTGTCAACGTCGGTTCGGACGTATACATAACATTGTCGACTAAGTATCAAAGACATTTATGCTATAAAAACTGTGCGTTTCTCTATTACGAGAGGACTTTTGAAATCAGAACAAATACCTTTTGCATCTGTTGCATCCACATTTTGATTGCAAGTAAATTAAGTGGACGCATCATGCCTTTGCGAGATGCTACGTGTAAAGATGAACAAAATCGTCTGCTGCTATTATACCGAGTACTAATAATAAGACAGCGGTCTAATTTTCTTTCATAATAATAGTAAACTTGAAAATTACAAACAAGTAAGTAAATAATCTTGAATAGCGCCGCGAGTACACAGCTAATTGGTGTAAGCGAAGAACCCCTTGCTTCAATTGTGACATAAATCAACTTTTGAAGATCGTATTAATCGTTAATTAAAAAATATATCATAAATAAGATTTGTGTAAATTGATAATGTTATCTGATTCATATCTCATTACCTTTTGCGAATTGTAAAATGTTCCGATACGTAAAGTCGTATACCGATTGCTTTGTACTTGGTTCTCTTCAGGGATCAAACTCGTCATGTTTAAAATTTTGATTTACGTCGCTTTTAAAACAGGCGCCCGTGATTCTCCTAGTGCTGTTGCACGAGCGTGGGCCCGTTAACGGGGTTTCTCCAGGGATCCGGTCTATCGAAGTGCGCGGGAACGGTGAGCAGAGCATCGGCAGCAGTACGATCTGCGCTGCAGTTCGTCGGTTTGACACGAGTCGTGTTTACGCACTCGATCGGCAGCTTGAAGAACTCGAGCTTGTAATTGTAGCCCTGGCTGTTGATGCGGATTATCGTGTGCAACGGCACGTCCATGTAGGGCAGCTCTTCAGGCTTCTTATCAAGGAAGAATCCAATGATGCAGCGCAATATCGCTTGATGCGACACCACGAGAACGTTGTTGGAACGCTGCAGCTCAGCGATCACCGGGTCGACGCGCTGCATCGCGTCGATGTAACTCTCGCCCCACGGATAACGATAACGCAATTTATCCTGATCGCGCCAAGCAAACTCCTGTTACAAAATTAAAAACAGACAGAGTGAAGGCTAGAGTCGTGTCATGGTTGTTTCCCCACGATCAACGGCTATGTCTGATAAAAATGGATCGTTCGAACTTAATTCCGAATTTAACGTATAACTCGAAGCTGGAAATATTTTAAGCTGGCAATCAATAACTGGTAACAATTACCTGCGGATAATGCTCCTGCATTTCCTCGTAAGATAGGCCCTCACACACCCCCGCGTGAAGTTCATTCAAAGCGGCTATGTGTTCTTGAGGGGCTTCGATACCACGCGCCGTTGCGATCGTTCTACGGAGACGGCTGGTGAGAACCCGAAGATCCGGAATACGCATGGCGTTGAACTTGTTTGATAACGCTTGAGCATAGCGTTCACCTCTGGCGCTCAGCACCGTGTCGCCGCCAATTTTACCGACCACGTTGTACTCGCTTTCGCCGTGCTGCAACATATAATTTAAAGTAAAAAATTTTAAGTAAAAGATGAAAGTTGCGAAATAAGCATATAATGAAACATATATGGGGCCTTCTATTTTTCTTCGGCAATTTATTTAAAATTGCTTACCCTCGAGAAATAAAGGGTATGAGGTTTGAGGCTGACGTCTCCAAGATATCCAAGCACGCTGGTTTCAATATGACCGGATACTTTGCAGGTCTCGATATCCATGGTAGCAGTGTCGATCTTGATCCTGGGATAAGTTCCATCGTTCATAGGTTCGTACAGTCCGGCGTAAAAAGCGATTTTTGAGCGCAGATCTTCCGCGGCCGAAGCGGCGTCTATCCCTGTGTAGTCAGCGCAATGTTCCACGATTTCTTGTTGATTGTACTCGAGGACCTCTGAGTCGTCGCAGACACATTCGATGAAAAGAACGCGATAACCAAGCTGACCAGAGAAGTAATCGTAGACTTCCGTGCGTTGCGCTCGTGTGATCAGCATAGCGTCCAAGATCTTAACACAGGGAGAGAGAATAACTGATACACGATATCATCTATAAAGCTACCCAAATAACGCTTCATTTAATTAATCGCCGTGCAATTTTCTTATCTGGGTGAAATACTTGGGCTAACAGAGGGGTAGCATTACTCGACATATTGCTGTCCTTTTACAATCGTAATCTCATGAAGAAACTGCACCAATGTACATACTTACCGCTACAGTATTTCCAGATGTGAGCCACGCAGCGCAATCTTGCATGGCATCTCTCTGAGAGAGAGCTATTAACGAGCTGTTTGCCGCATTATCCGCCCGGAAAAATTCGTGTGACAGGTGGGGATCGAATCGCTTCCTTCGATAATCACTCACGCGGAACACTGAAACAAGATTTATGGAATATTGTAATTCATTCTGATATAATCTCTCGTTTAAGCGAGAATAAAAGTTAAGCGTATAGCTGCAATAAATCTCTGCGGGTCGTAGATATGCATTTAAAAAATATTTGTTTTAAAGTTTAGATTTAAAAGCTAAGCAAAATGACTGTCATAAATCTCCGTGGATCATATGATAGATTTGATAAATGTTTGTTTTAAGATATGCTATTAAGTACGTGTCTTTACCTTTTGTAGTTACGCCATTCCAAATGAGTCTACGAGCAAGACTCTGCCCGATTTGGCTTTTTCCACGAGCCGGCAAACCGCACGTGGCTATAACAACTCCCGCAAATTTCCGCGATGATTTCACTGGTCCTGAGATTCTTGCTGCAACCTTCTCTTTGCCGGAATCTAAACAGAATATAGGCGATGAAGCATTCGATACTCTATATAATTTATGCAAGTACTTTCTTGGATTTAATATAATATGTAAATTTTTTAACATTTCTTTGTCACTAATATACGCGATTGTAAGCATTTATTCTGATTTATTATATTTATAATCTGTAATATAATTAAAACAAAATTTAATTAAATAGATATTTAAATATGCATTAGTATTTGGCTTAGTAACATGAAACTTTCTGTAGCATTATGCGAATTTTATTATACTCCATGAGTTAAAAATCACATTTTTCTTTTGATTAATTTTATTTCTTACGAAATAAAACATTTATTATTCGAGAATAATTTAACACGTATTTATAAAACGTGTTTTCCTGTTTTCAATGTTTGCTTCAAAATGTCGTCAATAAAATTTTTGAGAATTACAGGATAATAACTAAATATAATATTATTAGTCAGAGCTTCTTTGAACGAGACATTTTGTTAGTAAGCTCGCGAATTCACAACTGCGAACATTTTGGCAATATATCTGAACATACGTCATGCTTGGAGGCACGAGCAGTAGTAACATGAGAATGGTACATACATCATGACAACGTGACTTTGGACTTGCAGTAACGTAGTACTAAAATTCACTCTTAAAAACAACAGTAATCGTAAAATGTTTACGTCAGGTAAGCTACGAGAGTTCTGGAAATACATTCAAACTACAGAGTGTAGAGAACTATTGCATTATTCAGTAACCTGAATTTTTATACTGCAATGTACATTCGCAAAAGCATCGTAATCGTAGTGTGCAGAGAAACAATTTCGCATTATTATATAAGTCCATTTTCCATTAATATAAACTGTGTTTGTAAAAAAAGACTACAATTACTTCAGCAACGTGAGGATTAGTCGAGTATAAACGTATAAACATAAGAAGGAAATGATAAGTTTTTACCACTAATGCATGATAATTAAATCAGTTTGTTTCGATAAAAACCCGATGAATACAAGTTTCCAAGCATCGTATGTGTGTTGTTTGCGTGCGAATAGATCACATAAAGATTTATTGTATAACGAAAAAAAACAAGGAACAATTACTTTACAAAAATATATGCAATTTTATATTAATTAAAATGTATAGAAAACAGATATTCTAAAAATTAATTGTATAATTACTGTTAAATATTATCATATTTTTCATAGCTAGCTAATTTTCTAATAATTTTAGAATTAGCAAACGAGTAACATCATGTTTAATTAATTCACTTATTTTAAAGCACGTGCAAATAATCTTATCTAGTTCATATTTGTCTATAGAAATGTACAGATTAAAGATTGATAAGAGCGACATTCGAGAAAAGATTCAAAATTTGATTGTTTTAGAGACTGCATAAATTTAATGACTACTATGACGTCGAACGAGCAAGCAATCAAATATATATGTCTCATGCCCCACTAGAAACGAGTTTTATATTTAGATTCGTAAATGCGTGCGTGCACTGGCTTTGTTTCGGCTTCTCCACGCGTTGCCGAAGCCAACAATAAATTGCCTTTTAAACGTAGTAAAATTTAATTTAATTTTTAACAGGAATAAAAAGAAAGTACTCATTCCTCTTTCTTTAGACTTACAATTAGTAAAAACACAGCGTGTACTGTCACTGACAATTGAGTATTTTTGAGTATCGAGTATTGTTTGAGTTATATGAATGTTAAAATGGCAATCGTATTAAGTAAACTGTACAACGTCTAATCGATACATTAATTTGATAATTTTATAATCATTACTTATTATTGTTACAGCTTAGCGATTCCACGAAACGGAAATGACATATCAAGAGGAAATTCCAAAAATACAAAGCGTTACCTGTTCATGTATGATAAGCTTATCTTTCTGTCCCATATCTGAATCCGTGATGATACGACACATGCATAATAACTACCCCTATTCGGACTTATGTTATCTAATCAATGCGCTATCAATAGATAACAATTTATACTTCAGATTTTTACGTTTGTGCGATAATGTGAGATAATTTATTATTTTTGAACATGTTGAGAAAAGTAAACCGTAATATACATTTTTATATCGTGTGACTAAAATACACTTATTAGTAATTAAACATAACAAATATTAAATAGATTAAAAATCTGTTAATATCAACATTAAAATGTTTAACAAATTTGTTAACCAATTAAATAAACCTCTTTTATTGAAAAGCTTCAGAAATTTTTCCTTACAATATTTAACATTTAAAAAGCATCATTAATTTGAACGTAGAGTAGAAATAATTTCTCTTTCATATAAATAGAAATTTTATTTTCAACCTAATTATAAATTATTTTAGTAAAACATTTAATTCAAAACTCTAATACTTGCATAAGATATATATTAGTCATTAAAGATTTAATTCTATCGATTAATTTTCTTGGTTTCTCTCATATACGCAAAAAATTTAAGACAGGTAAGAATGTAAGAAATCCGAAAATCCCTGTACTTGTCAAACTGGAGAGATAAGAAACAAGTGCGGTTTAGTACCTGATGACGTGGTGATAAGTTATCGATTCGTCAATGCCAAAAAGATAAATTAAAAATACGTCTCAGTATAAGGATATGTCGTTTCAAATAATATTTACAGACACATGATGTTTGCTTTTAGAGGGCTAAAAGTTTCTCGATGCTATGTCTATTAAATTCAATACAAAAATATATATTTGTATATTTGATATGTAAATCTTAGTGTTTTATTTATCTCGCTGAAACGTTGCTGTGTATTCTAGTTTACGTATACATATAACAAAAAATTAATTAATTTAAATATATGTACGACACAAGTAAATCATCTCGCGTTCGTATTAAAAATTTTTTAATAAATTTTATAGTTTTCGTAACAGTACACGTTCTTGCGTTCGTTTCTTTATTTGACGTGGAAAGTAATTTTAACTAAAAGCATATATTAGAAAATGGAGTGTCTTGAAACAGGATGTGACGTTCGCGTATAACAAGGAGGGATATCAATCAATGCTTACATTCGATACAATGGCATTAAATACTAGACATTAAAAAAATCTTACATAATAAATTTTAATTATATTCCATTTCGTCTTCCACGATACGTTATGCCGATTGTTTCACAGAATTATATTCCAAGGGGGAATCGTAAGAATTTGATACTACGTACAACAATGACGTTTGTAACACGAGAACAGTGTACAATTGCAAATAAAAGTGCGGATGTTGTAATAAAAATGAAGCGCACGTTGGTGAGACAATAACTGCTTGCGCGTCCCCGAGTTTGCATTAACATGTTTGCAAAAGAAGCTCGGAAAGGAGCAAAGCGAAATATTAATTATTCTTTCGTGTATCGCTAATTTGTCCTTGCACATAAGGTAATGAAAATGATGACGATTAAATGGCTCGCATACGTTTATTTATATCCTTTATAATTTTAGCCCGCCACCTTTCGTATACAGGAGATAACGACGGTACAATACAATCTTATGTATATTTGCCACATTCGGAAGACATGAAATATTCCCTGCCATTACTTTTACGTCAAAAATAACGAGTAAAGAAGCACAAAGCGCAATATACGACCAAGACCGACATTGCGATACCGAAGACTGCGACCTCAATATACTCGAAGCGTTGTTTTCCTTTCACTTTTCATTTCCTTTGAACTTTATTAAACCGACTTCTAACACAATGTAAGAAAAATTCATAAGTCCAGAGAGAGCATATTATCTACATGGTACACATATTGTGAGCATGTTCGTTTTTTATAAACAAAAATTAAGAAAGAAAAGATCATAAATTGCAAGCTCCTTTTTTCTGTCTTAACATGCGGTGAAAGGTTTTTGAAATGCCGTTAAAACGAATCAGTTGATTGTAATAAGCAGGGAGTAATATAAATACCCGTGCATACATTGCGATAAAAACTGCTTATTAATTACATTGCACAACGCACCTAAACAGAAAATTTATGGTAATTATTATTATTTTTAAGGAGATTCTGTTAGGCCTTCAGAGAACAATTATGACGTAAAATAAACAGACAAAAATTGTCTAATTAATAATTTTAAGAGCCCGCTTCTTCTTTATAATAAATGAATAATAATTATTAACATAATAATTGAATGAGATTTGAAACATTTTACAATGTAAATTTAAAATAAATAATACAACGAAAACATTTCTACTATTTAGGCTATACTACACGTTTATTCAACATCCTTTACGTTTTTCTTCCAGAAATTATGTAACCAGGTATGATGTAATGAATGCTACCGCGCAACTGAAAGATGTTTGTTTAAAAAATTATGTTTGGATGTACACGTTCGCCATGCAAAGCACTTTGGCAAGTTGGTTACGATAAGCGTAGATAAGCAGCTTTATCCGCAACGTGAAAGCGAGCGTTGAAAAATAGTGGCACAAAAGAAGACATACACATTACGTAAGCAGACGTCTCACACACCCCTTGGCACGAAGCGACTCACCCCCGCGCGAAACTTTACCTTGACGCTCTTCCGCATTCGGGGCCATGACGGTGTCGGCGTTCAAGGGTATTTCCGTGTTAGACGCCTGCCTTAAGGCGAGATCGCTTTTTTTCTCCTGCAGCAGACCGGCTTGTAGGGCCAGTTTCCTGATCGTGAGACAGTAACCCAGTAACGGAGCCGCCAGTAGATCAAAACATGCGGCGACCCAGGGCATAACCGAGAGACCCGTGCTACGGAGAACAGCCGGTTTCCCGAGTATTATTCGGCTCTCCCTCTCCGTCTCGGTTTCTCTCTCTTTTAACGACGCCGTAATCGATTAAGAAATAAGGGACCGAGGATCCTCGGAGCAAAAGGAAGCCCGACGTGGAGCCAGCCGCTCCAAATAAAAAGAAACCGCCGATAAGCGAGAGTCGCCTCTACTCTACCCGCGAATTACTCCAGTCTGGCCTGGGTTCCGCTTCTCGCGTCTCCACTTCCTGGTTAAGCTCCCGGCTAAAGCTCTTCCGAGAAGTGATCGCTGCTCGTGTGCCGTATTATAGATAGCAAGTCCTCCCTCATTCCAATTTGCTTGATCCTCACTTCCGGAGCCAGTTTGCGGGCTTCCTTGGGATCGGTCAGAGAGAAGGCCGGGTCTCTATCTCGCGGCGTGCCGCGCGATTCCCTTTCGCTCGTGCCCGTTTCTCTTGCTACTGTCGACGGCGATGCTCGCTGCCGTTGCTACTTAACGCCGTTGTTCCTTGTCGAACAGTGCGCGGGCGCAAACAAATACACCCGCTGAAAATTTACATAGTAATAGCGGCACCTCGCTCCGGCCTCACCAACCGCCTTCGTGCTCCGAGATTTTGGAATTTGAGTCGAGATCGCTGTTGCGATCGCTCTCGTGCTCCTTCTCTATCCCGATTTCTCTTCCTCCCGCTCCTATTCGCCGGAGACTCCGAACGACGTACGTATCGATGTAGGCGCTCGACCAGTCGATGCCAGAGTGATTTCAGCTGATGCTCACCGAGACTTCTCGTAGACTCTTCAGCCTGAGCTCTTTTCTTCAGAGAACGCGCTCTATCACGGGGACGATGCGGCTGTGCCAAACTGGACGAGAATAGACTCCGTTCTCTGCAGATGCGACCGGTCGATACGTGCTTCTCGGCTCTCCGACGACTAAAAGGTCTGGTTCCAACGGCGGCTTTTAGCAGCATCGACCAGAGCCCACGAGTGCACAACTACGTTGTGCGAACCAATGGAGAGCCGGCTGGCCCCTCTACTACGTTGTCGGATAAACTTGCGCGCGATGGGCGAATATACGGTTTTCCTTGAGCCGACACGGATATTCGTGGTAAAAATCACGTATAATGAAAATTACCAACTTACCGCAAGATCGGAAAAAGTGAAAAAAAAAATCTTATCTTCTGTCTCATGAAACCAGTTCAACTGACCTTTTATCGTTGATAAGTCTTACTCCTACACTAGTAACTGTTTTACTGATAGTCTACTGTCGCATGTGAATTCCGATCGGTGATTTTCGGAAATTCCAATACTATTATATTTTCCTTGTCAATTTTTGTCCAGTGCTACTGTATACCGTAAATTCGACAGCCTACGCTACTGACGATGCTCTAATACATATTTGATTAGTATCATAAATTGCGTACGTTACGCCTCATGAAATCGGTTAGCATTTTCCTTGGCGGTTCGTGCGTCCAAAGTCCACGGTTGTTTTTCCTATTTTCACGTAATCGTTTGGCAAACGACAATCCAGGCGTATTCGGCGTCATTGAGTTAAATGAAGAGATGCCGGATCACTAATGCCCTGACCTACCCGGTTACATCACGTGTACGTCCAGTATATAGAGCAACTTCTTCGTATAAAACGTGAACTTTGGAACCTGTGTTTTGGTGACGTGTCGAAATAACGTCAACTAACGAAAAATGGCTCTTACCGAAAAAATCCTTCGCGTACGTAACTGTGGGTTAATATTAGAACACGGAAATATATGAGCGATCCACCTGTGCACGTGCGAAACAACATATCATTCATGAATATTCTCATAAAATAATTAATCGAAAAATTGTACAAAATATACGACAATTTTTGCCGCGAGCACTGTTTGCGAAATAGCTACAAATAAATGCGCCAAACGCGAAAGAAACTTTTATTGTTAGCTTAAGTTTATTGTTAGTTAAAAATATTATAACAGTTATTTCAGAAAGAGCGTTTTTGTGACTAAAATGTGTCCCGTGTTCGTGTAACAAAAATTATCAAATGTCATAAATGTATAGATTCAACATTATATTTCACTTTTATTTCACTTTTACTATACATGCATTATATATATATCAGTACACACGTTCTACCTATAAATTCTGAAATCTACATGGAGAGAATTTGTTTTTTAATTTAATCTGAAAATCATGGAATCGTGGAACAACGTAGTAACATTTTGAAGATGTTTATGAGTTTTTTGAAATTTTACCATACATTCTACTAGTAAAATGTACGGTAAAATTTCAAAAAACTCTCATACGGTTCTTTAAAATGCCACGTTGTCCCACGATCACATGATTTTCAAGGTAAATTTTAAGAGAAAATTTTTTCCGTGTAGAAGTCAATATACATATATTTCTCGTAATTTATATAAATTTCTGAAAGTAAATGAGGAATATCTATACATTTTTGATTTTGTATCTTAAAGAACCTAAGTTAAAAATTGTAGTATCTATACATTTTGTTTACAATAAGATACTCGTGAATAATGACGCCAGTAAAGGCACCGGATTTTTCACATTGCACCTACGTAAGTAAATGTCACATTCTTAATTTATTAAATGATAAGGAGAAAGTACGTGAAACGTATATCTGCGTGTGATAAATACTTTTTACAATCAGTTACGTGATAGAGGTCGCACTTAATCTCATGAACTTAACAAAACAAATTTATAAAACTGCAAACCGTCAACTTGACCCGGAATGTCCCGTTGAAGGCAGATAATTTATTAACATATCGTAGAAATTTATAAAATTTTATCTTCTACATAAATGCAACTTTTAATTTAAGGAACAACAATTCGAAACAACTTCGTCGCTACATCTTATTCCTTATCTAAAGGAAATAGTGTAATAAAAATGCATTTAAAATACAAGTTTTATATGTTGGTCGATATAAAATTTTATGAACGAAGCGATATCACAGGGAAGTCACAATTTTATTTGTACAATCAAACATACACATTCTCGCCAATCTTCATGAGAGTTTATTGATATAATGTGCGTTATTAGTTAATGGTCAATTTGAATTCCAGCATTGTCAGCGATGCCAGACTAACTGGAGGAATGGTTAGCAGGTCTGTAGATTGAGCTGTCATGTCCCTGAGCAGATTTTTGAATTATATATATCTGAGGAAATACTAAATACATATATAAATATAAATATATATGCATACATAAGGATAAGTAGTGAAGTAGGAACATTTGGCTTCATTATGAATTATTGGTTCTGGTCCATTATTTAGACACGTTATTAAAACAAGGAAAATTTAGTTTCTAGCATATCTACAAGAAACTTTACAATTAAATCGGAATGGAAATTTCACCGTGTAATTTTTCCCAAGATGAATCAGACATTAAGATAGGGAAATACACTTCTTTAGCAATTTATATATTTTCAAGAATTAACTAATGAATTATGTTTTGAAAATTTTTAATTCAGGCCTAAGATTTCTTTAATTAAATTGTATATAAAATATCAAAAGTATATTTCTTCATCTGTGATTATTTTCATAAATTTTTATTGTATAGCATATTTTGAACACAAACACAAATGTACAAGATCCAGACATTGAAACTAATACCGTTGTATATTTATAAAGTAATTCATAAAATTAGTCAAGAATAGCTAATTAGTTTCTTCCAAAGAGGTATTTATACCCAAAGGAGGGGGAAATAGTTAGTTCCTTTTAGCTTTGGCTTAGTTTCAGATTTAAAACAATCAAGACTTGTCATTGGTGAGCTCTATTCTAACATGACTGTCACCGCGAATATGTATTGTATATACAGGCCTGCGGTCACTAACGTCCATTAACCGCAATAGAGCAAAGTCTCTAGAACAAAGGATAAAGTGAGATAGTAGAAATCGTTCGACCATTGTTCTTAACAGAATATTCGAAAGCATATAAATTAAAATCATCAAAAATTTCTATAAGAAAAGATATAATTATGGATGCTTTATCAAAATTAATTATTAAAAAATATTAATTATAATCCCGATCATATATTCGTGGAAACATTTAAATATGGCATGTAACTGTTTGATGAAATTGATATTATTTAATAAATTAGTTATAAAATACAGAGAATATTTTAACATATAAAAGTCTTTTCAAAAGTGTGTCTTTCACGTTGTTTCCTCGGAGCGTATACTTTCAGAGGAAGTACCGGTGAAACATATAGTATATTTATATTTTAATGGCGCGTGGTAGCCGCATAGTAATAGCACGCGTTACTCGCGCTCGTGAATGACTGTCAATGGTGATGATCGGATTGCGGTGTATAGTGTAGATTTGTATATACACTTTTTATTTCTATTCATTTTTTATTCAAAACTTGAATAAAAGTGCACTAACCATACAGTATGTATACTCTGAAATAAGAAAATCGAAGACAATAATGAAAATTTATATAATTTAATATATACATACCGATAGATCAGGATAATAAGGTGATTTCAAATCTAATCTTTATGGTTCAAGAAATGCTTTGCAAAATTCAACAAGAGCTTTTATCCTGATATCAGTGCATTTGGAAGAATCTTTCTGGTATCCGTATCCTTTAAAATGTATTGTTTTAATACAATAGTATAATTTGAAAAAAAATCTTTTCTTTTCTCGTACATAATATATCGTGATTATCACTCACGAGATTGTTACTGAATGTGATACTTAGCATAAAATTGTGAAATATATAACACAAAATGACGTAGATAAAAATAATACAATATAAATAACAACAGTGTATTTATTAATATGTAATTATGATACCATTGGAAAATATGGGAGACATTGATCAATACGTCTGTACACCACACACATATTGTATGTACACAAATTCATGTACTGAAAATTTGTTTAGAAAATTCCAATTGAATGCGCGAGACCCGCGTAAATGTGCAACGTTGTTGCGCCAATGAAAAAGGTGGTGATCGCTTTAATAATGAGCGTCGACCATGGGCCAGCTAATAAAAGTGATGAGAGAAAGTCTAACATGAGTGGCCTGTACACCGTAAGCACAAGCATACTGATCACTATAGGAACTAAACCACGTCGTAAATCGTGTCTCGACCATAACCAAACCAATGTTGCGGTTGTTATGTGTTGTACCTGTTAGGGAAAACGAACGAATCGTATAAATTTACTTACATCAATATTTCTCATCGTGGAATATAAGATAACAAATTCTCACCAAATTGATGTTCGACTCGAGACTCTTTTGAATGTACTTCCAATCAAATTCAGCGCCACGCGCTCCGACCCAGAGCAACAAGAATCTTGTAAGCAGCACCTCAGCTCCTGCCCACCCTATACCAGCAGTCAATACCTTGGCGTGGCCTTTGCCAGGTATACTATTTAGTACCAACAAAATTCCTACCAAGTCTGCCAGATCGATGGATGACTTTAAAAATTCCTAAAACACATTTTTATAGAAGGCTGTAGAGCATTGAACCATTAACATATCGATTGAATGGGCTACGTATGTGTTAATTCACGGTTCAAAAGGATTATAAAGTCGTAGAGGAAAGTCCTCTAATATGAGATAATAGGTTCGTAACGTCCAAATTCAATCGCAAATCTTTTCTCGCGACGACTACACGATCTAACAATCAATTTTCCACTAAACTGATTTTACTCCAAGGGCGATAAATTCACGTTGAAACCAAACGATGCCTATTAATTTAGAAAAAACCCTACTATCTCATATTAGGAGCCTATCTCATGATAGTGGACTCCCCTCTATATTAGTTGACCTCGCATGGTGTAGGTTTTGGACAAATATAGCCAGTTGACGTCGACAAATTGATAGTTATTACTGGCAATCTTTAAGAAGTAGATTTGTTTATCTATACTATTATTATAAAGAGAGAGAGTTTGTAGCCTGGTTTCTATGTTCGCTATCTTCCTAGAAAGCATTTTCTCGATTTAATTCAAAGTTTAACTGATATTTCTATAGACTCTCGGGATTGATGTAGGCTATATATTATCATCTTAGTGCAATTGGGGATTGCGCATGCGCAAATAATAACACACACCCATGGCCCGATTTAAGTTAATTTTCAATATGTATTTTTATAGCATCTTAGAATTGTTATAAGCTATGTATTATCATCTTTGCGCATTTGGGGATTGTGCATGGGCAAACAATATTATACACCGTTGGACCGATTTAATTAAATTTTTAATAGTTGTTTCTACAACATTTTGGGAGTGTTAGAAGTTATGTATTATTATTTCGAGAATGCGTATGCGCAGATATTATATTTTCGTTACCCTTTACGCTTTTTTAAATATATTTTAAAGGGAAAGAGACACATGTGAGAGCCAATCATGTTAGGTCGCGGGCGAAGCCGCGGGGCATGCTAGTAGGATTATAAAGTTATTAAACGGTTTATTAAATTTACAAAGTAATGAATTGAAGAGTCAGGAACAAATAGGAGGACATGGTTCATTTTTTGGACAATGTAAAGTAGATGTAACAAGTAACCGAGCTTTAGCGTTTGCTTGATCGCGGAGGAAAGGGAAAACTCCTGAAAAGATCTGGTAATACCTACTCCAAGGATATCGAAACCTTCTTCTCCCACATTGTCAGCGGTTGGAAAAAATGTTGCGAGCGCCAGCATTTTCACGAGCTGCGTGAATATGTAAATACCGCCGGCCTGAATGCATTTCCAGAAAGCACCGTACTCCGACCTGTAAACGTTGCCCTTCATTATCGCTATCTTTTCTTGGATGCTTTGAGACCAGTGCTAACTACAACACTATCTTTGAGGCAATGATCCCTGTGATCTACGTGAATCTTATATTACTCTTTCCACCGCTTGAAGAAAATTACATATTATACGTCCCTTTAGAACTCAGGTTAGAACCGAGAATATTGCTCGAATACACTTACAGGCCGGAATATTTGTAGGTCAAGTAGTATGGCACGTACACTAATGCCAAACAATTCCCGAAGTGATACAGTGTCATTTTTCGCCGATGCTCAGTCAATTTGTGAGAAATCTGAGAAATGAACGAATCATAACAAAATTATGAACATCGTGACACTATACTTTCCTAGCAGCAGCTGCGCACTGTACTTTCTGCACTACTTGCTGCACTTGCGGTGAAATAAACATGTAATCTGGCATCGGGTAGCAGAAGGAGAAAAGATAGAAGGTGCAAAGAGTTCAGTTACAAAGGACGAATTGGAATGAATCTCACTTCGCGAACTGTGGCGAAGCTTTGAAACTCATAGGTCACGTTTCTGAGCGATGCTCCGTGGATAAAGAAGAGTGATTCCGCCTGAAACTTCGATCCGAGCACGCTGTGAACGAAATTTGATAAAAATCTCGTTGTTTAATGTATATCTTGACAGAAAAAAAATTATAAATCACGTTCCTTCAAATTGAAGCTGAAACATTAGTTTGTCATACATTCTCGTTGCGTTTCTTATTGGATTAGAAAAGGGAAAAAGCTCGAGCCTGTTAGGTTATAAACTGTTGTAGAAAATATACTTTTTATTGATTTTGTTGATGATCCACCGTGTTAAACTTCGTCTATCACGTGTTATTTTATCATGGCAAATGTATGTGTCGAAGTAAATTATATTTTTTATAACTGAAGAATGTGTTTTTTAGTAATTCGATTCGAAAATTTGAAAATAAGAGTGTCAAATGTTCGTGATGTTATAAAAAAAAGAACAGTGGCAATGGCATCCTGACTGCCATTATTCACTTTGCCGTTCAATCCTTCGATAAAAGAATCTTTCGGATGCCACATTACACAGGCCCCTCTTTTATATTTTAACCCCTTTGAAAGGGGTACAGGCACCCCTTTCCCCATAAAAAAGGGTAGCTGCTAAAAAAGGGGTGCTGCAGCAGCAGAAGTATTGACTATGCTTCTTCAGCAGTTTGTGACGTGTATACATTAAGATTTTTTGTTTCCTACTTAAATAAGTGTTTGTACAACCACAGTATGCAGGTGCCTTACACAAGTTGAGCTAAGATCCATCAATAATGCATGTGAATTAGATGCCAATAAGATGTATATCAACCTTTACCGTGTAAATATTAGACTGGTCAATTTTTTCTCCTGTTTTCTATCAAAGTTGATAGGATACGCTACGTGGGATTTCGACCGACCCGTCAGAGCATGCTCGGTATCCCGCATACTGGCTGCTGCTACGCTGTCCCTCTCCAACGCGTTCCTTACGGAGGATAAACTCCTGGGGGTTGGTTGGGAGCCGCCTGTGATTGGGCAGGATCGTATTGGATCTACCCTGCGGACTACTCTACATGGAAAGGGTAGCTCAGTTCGCCGCAGGCTGTTGCCAAATCTGCTTCGCAGTGTGCCTGTTATCAAGTAGTTGTCAGGATGTTAAGATTAGGTGAAGTGCTAACTTCTGGAAGTGTGCAATAATTTCAAGTGTACTTACCTTTCAGGAATTCTTTATTAAAAACTTGCAGACTGCCTCTACGAAGGACTGATATTTTTGGCTTTCATTGGATTTTTGTGAATTTATATGTATGTGTTATATACTTATGTTCATATCTTTAGAAGTCGCTTTCAGTTTTCTGGAAAAGTAGGCCACAAAAATTTTCTACATAACATTACATTTGAATATGATGAAACTTGATCTACAACAATAAATGTATGTGTAATTAAGAATACATACTTGCTTCCTTTCAGTACACATTTCTCTTAAATAGTCTTTGAGATATTTTGACCGACCCTGAGTATATTTCAACAGATATTAAAAGTTCATATTATCCAGCTAAACGTTTTAAAACTGCAAATTAAAATTACTGCTTACCATCTAACAACGTGCTGTTGGACTAGCACAAATAGATCAGTGAGAAAAAAGTGTTACCCCTCTCTGTCCCTTCAACCCTTCACCCTTTTTCATCCCTCCATTGAAAAAACTACCCACCCCTTTCATCTGATCAGCCCCAAAAACTGTGTGCTAAAACGTTATGTGCTGTACGAACAGAAATATTGTTAAATAGATTGCCTCAAGATGAAGCAAGAATTTTATATAAACAGTTGTTTAAGAACTATTAAAGAATTAATACAGACAATAAATTTGTAATACATAGGTACACATGTTTATACACAATGTAATGGAATGTTATTTCTTTTCTATTAGCTGAATTTTTAAAAAATAAGTTTAGATTAAAGAAATATAACGTCTATATAGACTTCAAATTTACATCTCTTTATCTTCTTTGGGAGTGAAAAATGGGTGGAGCTTACGTTCCCTATTGCTTTCCATACAAGTCTCAGGAAAAAGGGTAGTCAGTTTTATGGTGGAGTTCAAGGGTGAAAGAACGTGTAGTGTGACTGGTTTTTTTTTATCATTTTCAAGCAGATGTTTTTCGATATTTGTAACATTTTTAGTGGATCTGCGAATTATACACGTATGTGACTTTTATTATTTTGCTTTAATTTTGTTTTACAATATAAATTATCAGTGTAGAAAAGAGAAAGTCCCAATGTGAGCCACAAAATGAACGGAACTCTGTTCTCACAATTTAGAATCAAAATTTCTCCTTAATAACAAACGTTTCGACCCTTTTTCGGATCTTCCTCAGTAAAACGTTACACCAAATAAAGCATAAGGCAATATCTTAGGGAATCAGTGCACCATGTGACTTCAGATTCATCCTTCTATCTGTGTTAATATCAGCGAGTCTCAATATAGTCCCAGACATAAAGAGGACTAAATAATACGCTTTATTTTAATAAATCAAAAGCTAATAAATTATCAGCTCTAAATTTTTGGAATATATATTATTTATTCGTGCATAGTCTAAAGCATTGTATAATATGTATATCACGACGGAAAATGGTAAGTCAAGTTTATTTTCTTAATTTTTACGGTGAGTTTATTGTCAGCACAACTGACAAATTTTATTAAATTCGGATTTAATAAAATTTGCAAGTTGGGTTGACAATAAGCTCACCGTTTTAATTTTATATCATCACTGGCAATTATAAGTAATATTCTTCTTTCGTTAAATTTTTACATTTCATGTCATTTGTATATCATAGCGTTATTATCCATATTTTATTTAATAAGTTATCATGAAGATCGTCTTATTGTAAATTGTTTCTTTAGTTTTATTGTTAGAGAACATTTTTTCGATGCAAATAAATATGATTTTTATCACTTTATATCGCATGACATTTTTGAAAAAATCGATTTTAACTTATGAAGAGAATATATGTTTCACGTGATGTTCGTACGATGGCGCTACGATTGATTTCCCGCTACGCACGCAACATATTTATTTCAGCAAACAGTAATTAGTACCATATAATTACAATAGATGACGTTGCTAGTGACTTTACGGAGTATTTTCGAGTTAATTGCACAGTATCAAAACTAATTAGAATGAGGCTAACTTATTGCAACATGTTTGCAACGCAATATTTTAACAAATTTTAAATAATTGATATTTTACAGTATTTTATAACAGTTTCACATATTTTATATATTTGATTTTTTAAAATTCTTTTATGAATTCAAGAACAAAAATATAAGAATTTAAATCTTATATTCATTGCATATGTAACGTCTTTTCTTATTAATTTCTCAAAAATAACAAAATATTTTAGTAAAATGAACATATACGTTACAATATAAATTACTATTTATTTGTTACGCAAAGTTGCAATGCAAAAATTAACTAAAGTATAACTAAAACTGATCTTCCTATTTCATGCAGTTCCTTTCGATTGAAGAAGCTATCTTTTCCCTACGTTTCACCAATCGTGCACAAACGGTTTATTTAGACGTAAAGCTTCCTAGTGCTTCTCTTGGAATTATCTTGGATTTAGGTACGAAGGTCTCGATCCTGAGAGTGACGACACATGCGCCTCTCTCAACCCCGAATCTCGCACTTTTGTTGTCTCCCTTCTTCTTTGATGGACCACGCACTCGTGTTTGCATTTCCTTCTTCCCTGGGGATGCTTACGGGACGGCGCGCAATTTCGGAAAGCCGATTTCAATTCAGCTCTCTTTTTACAGGGAGAAACGAAAGCTCGAGCGGCGCGGGATTACGGGAATCACATGGACAGGCCTGTGAACACGTGCGAAAATCTCGTGTCTCGACGTTTGCGCCTACGGCATCGATCGTTCTTCAGTTTCTCGCGTCGGAAAAATCCGATTTCTCCAACCCTCCCCTCACTTCTCCGGTAAGTAACACTTACGAGAGAAACGCATGTCAAGATATACATACGATTTGCAAAATTTTTGGCAAATGGAGAGATTTATTAGATAATTAATTGAAAGAAATTTGAAAAACAATTCCCTATTTTATTTATCTCTAAAATTCTTTATTACCTGCCTAAAATGTCGAACTTAATTTAGCGTACAAATATATGTGCGCGTGTGTTTTGTACAAAGTTAGTTTTTCTTTATTAAGACAAAACGCTTTCTTCATTATTGTCGTTATATAAAACGATAAATATATAAATCATTATAAGAGAAATCGTCGTGTAAGCTACATTGTTCATACGTTTCCACTTTTTCCATTGACGTTAGGATAATGTATAACGCTTCATTTCCGGTTCCGGTCTTCATCACTTTCGCACCGTCAACTCCATTCTTCCGTGTTCTGCCTCCGTATATTAGCATTATCGTCTCCCTTGTACATCAAAAATTTCCGTCTCTTTGTATCGACATCACAAATCTTGAGCCTTTAAGGCCGGCATTCATAGTCAAACCTTATATTCAAGACCGTCTTAATATCATCTTTAAATACTCCGTAGCCAACGAAATGTTCTATATAGCATTTTTAGATAATTCAAGACGGTCTTGAATATAAGATCTGACTATGAATGCTGACCTAAAGGTTATCATTCGACATCTCGCACGAAAAGATTGATCTCTCAATATCGTTCTTACAAGTTCACTTTTGTATAAAAAGAGATTCGAGAAATAAATTAACGTAGTATGATATTAAAAGAAAGATAATATACATGGTGGAAAAATTAACACAATTTTATAATAATTAAAAAGATGTAAAAAGCGAAAAGAAAATTCTATCATTTTCGTGGGGTATCTCTTTCTTATCTACTCCTTTTGTTTTTCGAACATTGGCATATTTCGTAGTTGTGTCAGTGCCGGGATATGGAAAAGCCACAAAATGTTTTCCATTCCCTGCGTGCAACGCATAAGTACATTTCTATACGACGGAAAAATTGATATATTTTTCCCACTCAGCGGAAGCAGTACTGGAAGGAATAATGTCCTTTCTTCAGGGCTTCAGGCGAACTTGTTAATATTCCACCGGCGCCTACGTCCTTTGGGGACAGCGTCTGCCGGCGCCCGTGTTACTTTCTCTACTATCTTTTTTATCTTAGTTCTATAATACTGGGAGAGTACCGGTATAAGAAAAATTCTCGATTGCGATGTTGAAGTCTAATAAGACGCAGGTTGAATCGGATCGAAATCTTTAAGCGAGTTTCTTTGGAAACTTCCGGAGGTCCAAAAGATGTCCAAAGAACATCTAATGGGTGTCTGCGAAGTTAGAATGTCAGATATTTCTCACTTTTTGCGTTACTCGATTTTTGCCTGGCATGCTTGAGAAAATTGCATTCATTACGGACAAACGCGACTTAAAGTTAACGTCCAGATTTGCGCGAAAATACAAATACATATATGTATGTATCTAAGATTTTATATAGATTTTATATTATACTCTACAGAAATTTAAGACTTAAATACACATAATTTCATTGAAATATGATACAATGACGTGAGCACAGTCGTCACCAGCATTTTAAGCGGCGTGTAGGCATTTTACAAAAGAATCTTCCCGGTGTCTACTTTAACAATGATGAAGGCGGAGGATGAAGAAAGAAGGATTTCAACTGCAAAGATGCTTAATGAAGTAGACAGCAGAGCGCGACGTAATTTTCAACCAAACTCTTTGATTGGCCATTAAACTGCGATTTGCATATTTAAAGCGGCAAAGAAAAAACGGCGGGCCGCGGATGAAAAAAGTTTTTAACGAGCATCTCTTTATTATTTAATGTCTGAGACGGTGTTGCGCGGAAGTGACTCTAATTAAAGAGATATAATTGGCGGATGTACAAAGGCGAATAAGGCTCTTCGTTCCGACGAGCCGCGCTGTCGTCGATATTCCTGCGCGGCGCCGCGCTTCCAATTAATCACTCTTTCGCGCGGCATTAATACTATCCCCGCGTTTTAAGAGAGGGAACGGTTGTATTATCCGCGCGCGAGAAACGTTTTATTATACGGGCTGTTCGGTTCTGTGCTTTATAAAAATAGAGGCTCTATACGGACAACCGAAATAATGAGCAAAGCTCGCGCGGACACGAGGACTTTTATAATGGATTTACTGCATGACAGTGTATAAAATAATAAACGTAGAAACTTCAAAATTATACGAAACAAAAGTTTTCGTGGTACAGAGCGAAATTATTGGTATCGCTTACACATAAAATCCATATGATAACTGACTGATTTTTTAAACATCTTTTTGTCAAATACCCTCGAAGCCTGACCAATGATAAACGTACTCTTAAATGTATAAATAAGTAAATTTTCTGCCACGTCTGTGCGAGATGGTATTTTTGCGCAACTGTAAATCACTTTAATTCTCCAAAATTAATCAGCGACGCGTTCTGCATTTCTTGCGCTGCATAGTGCGGATGCGGTCGTCGAAATATTGCCCGGGCCGTTAAACAGTACTGAAGAATGCTTTTAGCATTCCAGATATCGCTAGCTTGTTTGAGTTTCGGAGGTTATCGGCACGAGATCCGGGGCTAAGAACTGTCCTTAAATGTGCCGTAAACGGGCCCATATGAAATAGAAGAAAGAGGCGACCGAGAGAGCAAGTCGTCTCTAACTTTGTAAAGGTGCCTCGCGCTTTACCAGTCCGGCCAGGATCCAATAAAAACTTTACAGCCCCGTAATGAATGCAAGAAATAATTATCTCATGAATACATTAGTTTTAGTATCTCCCGACATGGACACGGCCCGTAAAAGCAGCATTGGATATCTTGACCTACGATTTCCAGTGCGTGCTCGCTTCCCTATGATCCTTAATCGCCACTCGCTCGCCGCTCTTTTTCTCTTTCTCGCAGTTCAGCCGCTCTTCCTTCCTTCCTTCCTTCCTTCTTTCATTTCTTTATGCTTGCCGATATTTTGCCGAAGAAAAATCTATACCGAGCATCAAGGGTTTTCTTCGAGGCTTTGTTTCAATAAAAATTAATATACATATATTGTTCGTATAGTAAGAAATTGCCTTTCGGTGGAGTATCATTTTGGCGCGATATTTCGGGGCACATTAATATATTTTACTGTCGATATAATAGCAGAGAACGAGTTTCTCTTATTTTTCCGGATCCGAATATTTAGTAACGATAAATAATTCGTGGATAATGCAGACATATCGCGTGGGACACGCGTTTGACTCGAGAGGAGCGCCGTGTCGGCTGTATTAGCGAAAACCCTTTATGTGAATATCCTAACCGGGGTGGTGAAGTGGGTGGCTGTTGGGGGGAGACGATGTCAGTTAGGTGGAAAGGGAGGTGTGCGTCGGTGCTGTGGCACGGAGTGATTGATCGTCGCCTCGCGACACCCCCGTGTTCTCGTAGAGTGGATAAAGGGGTGGAAAAAGGAGTGGAAACCCTTTCACGCTTTCACGGATCAGTCACAGGATCACGTTTTCCGTGCCATCCCCTCGCCCCTTGGTACACGGGACATGCATCACCCTGCCATCCACTTCTACTTCCCTGACTTGTGCGTTTGCTCGTGTCGATGTCGCGAGGAGATCGAATCTGCAAACTTTGCGCGAAGGGAATGCCCCACCGTCGCCGCGGTCTATCGATCCCTCGATGCGGCGATATCAATTTTCGGGAACTTTTACGTTGCCTCACGCTCGCGTCTGGATTAAGCGCGATTAGGTACAAGGTGGGAATACAGTTCGATAATTCGCATAGTACGCGAGAAACCTTCTCGTTTTTCTCGTACATTAACAGGCGTTGTATTTTAACGGCGACGCTCCTCATTCTCGCAACCCGTTGGATTTATCACATTTTCGAGGAACGATCCGCAGAAAATGTCGCCATCATTTACGGAGCGCATGCTTCATCGGAAGCGAGCGGGTAAATGACGGTGGCTCATACATCAGACACCTAATTCCTCCTTTCGCTCGAGTGTTAACTCTTATATCTTATCCATTTAGAAGTTCCATTTGGCGGTGTCCGCGCAGCCGACTGCCTTGTCATTTCCAAATTGACGAGCCACTATGTGTCGCTGATATCCACAATTTTCTCGTACACTGGAATTATCTGTTGGCGAAACCAACAACTTACCAAAGAGTTATTCGCCCGTGTACCACGTCTTAACTTTCTTGGTTGTGTTGACAGACCCTGATTGAAATAAGGGTGCACGAGAAAACCTATTATGTGACTCCGGAATTCGTAAAAGTTACCACAAACAAGTTTTAAACATGTGATTTTATCTTTAATTGACAAACAGGCTGTTGTTGCTATTCCAGTTTCTTCGATGAAGTAACCAGTTTAATAGAAAAGCGATCTCCGTCAGTCGCAACACAATTAATTTTATTGTCATTACGCAACGTTTTATTATATAATACAAGAGTTTTGCAGCTTTCTGATTAAAGATGTACGACCTATCTAATTAAAGATATATTCGCGATCGATCGATAATGGCCTTTAGTCGAACGATGGCCTCGGCAAATCAACTATGAAGAATTGTGGGGATACAGGAGAAGAAATTGGATATTGCTGCTAAATATTTGAAAGACTTCCCCGATCCGTAGAATTTCCTTGATATCCCACGGGACGAGCTGCGTCTCGCAAGTTCCCCGGAAATCTCCCCATCCTTTGGTTTTAAGCGACCAATTAACAAAAGAGCTTTTTTAGCGTCGTTTTATCGTACACCCATATGGGAAAGAGTGGTGCTGATATTGTGTCCTAAAATCGGAACAATTTTTCTCATCTTTATTTCAAGATTTTCCGAGCTTATCCGACGATCTAAAATCTGAGCAAATATAAAAACACTACTCGATCGTTTCTTCGAAATTGCTATTTTCGCTTAAAACATATTGAGATAATATTAAATCACATTCTTTCTCCTTATCGTTAAATCGATAAAAATAACATAAATATATTTTTATTTTGCTGGAATTGTAATAACC